GAAATTGAACTACTAGATTACCTACCATCACTAAACGTAGAGAGGAAATCCTTCTTTACGATCGCAGATATGAGAACAGTGACAACAAAAGGTGAAACCAAACGAAAATCGTATTCTCTTAACGACACAGAACGTAAAAGGTTTTCCTCTTACTTTTGTTTGTCCAACATTGCTGCAGGTGCCCATGGAATGACCTTATCTTGAAACCTTCCTTGTGTTTGAGGACACGACTTGAACTGCGTCTGTAGATATTGCCTGATATCCTTTGGTGCAGCACAATGTGGAATAGTTCCAAGTCTGTATTGATCAAGCGCTGCAGCCATATGAGCTCTGTCTTCATTCTCAGAACTACAGATAACCACAAGAGATAGCCCTAACAAGAAAATAAGTGGATCAAATGCTTGGCTACGAGGAAAAAAGAAAGCGGTTTCTGGCTTTTGTCTGAAAAATGCATCACGAGAGAATTTATATAACCCTCTAAGAATCAACTTAACAGTCATAACAATCGTACTTCCTCTTTGTAATGATTCATCTTTAGACACTTTTTTAGTGTAGGTATCACTGAGGCAACTTGTTGATATCATGAGCCAACCTGAGGCCAGTTGGCTGTTACTTAAAACAGAGGCCGTTTGTGTTACTGTGGCTGTAGTTAAAGATAATAAGATTATCTGTAAACAAAGATCTTCCCTATTACATTGCCTTTCGGGGAGAGTTTGGTCAACTACATGAATATTTATGTATCATATACATATATTCTTTGCACGATATTATATCAGTTTTTCCGAGTATTTCATCCAAGAAAAAACTGTTTGTCACTGATACTGTTTTTACGGCAACAGTGTGGACCTTGCTTTGGCGTTTTCACTTTATTCAATAACACATTAAAAAATAACAAAAAATAAAAATTACCGGTTAAAACTTCCAACTGCCAGGAGACCACCGAGTTGGATATTTACAACCGTGGCCGAGGAGCTGACCTCAGGACTACTAAGAAATTATAGACACTTAATTGACTGGTCCCGAGGAAAACAGTTAATTTTGTCTCCCGAAAATCTCAAAGTTTCCCGAGGCGAAGCCTATGAGGAAAACATTTTTTGTGTACAAATATACGAATATATACACACTTAGTGATCTTGGTGATTTATGCAATCTGATTGGTTCGCTATCTCGGACTATTCAACGATATTCACCTCCTAGCGAGTGCATAATGTGTGAGTTCGCTGTTTTTTTCCATTTTTTTTTAGAGAATGATCTTTTAAAAGTCGACAAAATCCTAGGGTTGACTTCTTTTAAGGCAAGAAAAGACTTCAAAGGATTCAAAACGGTCTTTTTCCATTTACTGTAGCTGAGTTTTGTGCTCTATGGATTGTTTACAACTCCCGTTTATTCGCGTAGAAGAGACCGTTTCGTGAACTCAGCGTTTCCTAACAAGAAAACTTTGGCCCAAAAATCAAAGTATATTTATGACAAAAAATTTGACAGCAAATATTTGCAGAAATTCTACGTTTCAAGTAAATAGGAAAAAGCATGTTCCAGGAAGACGACGTCTTACCTCGAGCAACCGAGCCGCCATTTTAGTTAGCACTTCATGCGAAGAACGACACAACAAACCTTTTTGACCCTATAAACTTCGCGAGTCAACAGAAAACAACAAAGCTCTACTTTTCTTCTCAGGTACTTAATAAGGAAACAATTTAAAGTTTCAACGGTTCCATTTAAGCCATTACGCTGTTGTTTGCGAAGTCATAAACTTGTTAATTGCCATGTTTGAAAATTCTGCAAAGATCTATTTTTAAACTTTCGCGTGATTTGATCAGTCAATCAAATCGTACTTTTTTAACAGTTTCCTCGCTGATTTTGTTGATATCACTTCGTGTGTATACACTAAAACAATTATTCTTTTCAATCTCGGTGAATAGTGGCTTTAGGGATATTTACCTCGCCGCTTCGCGGTTCGGAAAATTTATAGCCGCTACTCACCTCGATTTCTAAGAATAATTGTTAGATATATCTCGCAAGCGGTCAACATTCGCGGGTAACAATGCACTGTTACCCTCTGACATCATAGATTTTGCAATGTTGCCCGCTCAGAGATTCTGGCGGAAAAGAGTTTCAATGTTAGATGCCATGTGACCTCGAAGTAACAAACGCGAGCGTGCGCTGTTGGGAAACAAATTTCCAGCTATAAAGCACCTACACTTAAAGTGTAGGTGCTATATAGCTGGAAATTTGTTTCCCAACAGCTTCTGATATTTCGCGCGGTCGCGGAGCCGCGAAATTCAGGTAAATCCGCGAAAACCCGCGAAATTCGGTAGAAATCTTATCAAATACATGTCTGCACAACATACTTGTAACTTATTTCAGCTATTGGGGCTATATACTTGCCGTAAACTTGCAAATTTATGTCAGAACTTCGTCACTGAAACGTGCAAACAACATCCCGAAACTACCAGGCGTAGATTGTGTTGCGAAAAACTGGGCACTAGCCATGATGTTAAAGGCTTCGCCATTGGTTCATTTCTGGAGAGTATTGTTGTTGAAAGAGCAAATGATGACCTCTGTTGGAAAAACGTTAAAAACGCTGGTCTGATCAGCGCAAAGCCGATTGGTTCCTAGCGAAATTTGCCTTGAAAATAACCACAAAATCGGCCGTTTTTTACCGATTGCTTTTTGGTGAAGTTTGCCCCGAAAACCCCCCGAAATTACCGCGAAATCGGCCGATTTTTCCGCGAATTTGCCCCTAACAATCCCGCGAAATTTGACTTTTTCTTCCGCGACCTGTCAGAAGCCCTGCACTTTGTAGGCAGAGAGAGGATTTGAACTCGTGCTACCGCCTTAAAATTTAGCCCCCTTAACCACTGGGCCAAGCTGCATAGAGAAAACATTACGGTAACTTTAAATACCATCATTGCGATTGTATTGAGGTTCCTGCAGTAAGATTTCCAGGCTGTCAGCAGCTTTCTGGGAAACACTGTAGTCAAGAAGGTCAACATGTACCAAACAGAACATCTGACCTCCACTGTCACCAAGGGCTCGTCGCCAAAGAAGCTCAATCTGTAACGGAATCAGTTTTAACGCGGTTGTTGCCAATGGGACTTTTAAGAGAGAGGTCTACATATGCATTTTGGCCAAAAATGTTATATACTGATAACGTTAATCAGTCCAGATTCAGGTCAGGGGCCCAGATTGTTTTACGTCGTAATTATACTCTTTCAGCTCTGTTTACCAACAACAGACATAGGAAAAAAGGCCGCAAAGATCATATGTGTAACGCGCTGAATCTTCCATGAAACACAAACTTCCTTGGAAAATATTTTACCTCGAGTAGCATGTCTCCTTCAACATCTTAACTAAGATTCCCATGACTACACGAAATGGAAGTTCTAAATGGAGACGTGTCTTTTTAAAAAACCCTTACCTCTTCTGCAGTTGTATCAGAAGAGCATATCAACACTTCTTCAGAACTTGGCAGAGATTGTGAGGTGTTTTGCATGTACAAGGACAGCACCGTTCCTAGAATGTCATCTACAATGGGAATGTAATAATTATGTTACATGAGGTCGAATAAGCGCAAGAACAAAGGAAAGGGGTTAAAAAGCACAAATGAATTTGAAATATAGGTCTAAGTACAATTTTAACGACAAACCTTTGAATAAATAATTAAAGGAAGAAAACAATCCAAACAGTCATCAAAGGGAGAAAAGTAGAACGAAGGGGAGAGAGGAAGGAAGAAAGGAAGGAGAGACGAAGAAATTCAACGACAGAATTATAGAGGGAGGGTGGGAGAGAGGGAGGAGGAAGGCAAGAAAAAGACAGCCCATTTTATAATAATAAAGTTTCCCCCTTTTTCTTTACCTTTAGGAATAACAACAAGATTTGGCTTTCCGCGATAAAGATATTTTGGGTGACGTCTTTTACGTTTCTTTGAACCTGCAATAACGAAAAGAAATGTTTTAGTTTTAAAGAACTTATCTCCGAATTCCTTTAGGCCCCCTTATGAAAGCGAGGCGGCCAGTGCATGAACAAGAATTTCATTTCTAGGTGAATGAAAAGTTATTTTCATATGATAGGATGAGTAACAGGACTAGCTTTAAAAAAAGCGTCTTGCCATTTTGGTGATTACAAACATGAGTGATAAGTGGACATTCTCTATAGGTGAATGCTGAATCACACCTTGCAAAGCAAGCTGGCTTAGAACTTTTCCCAGCTCGTCAAGGCTTAAGAACTCCCCGCCTGCTGTCTGGTCAGAAGTAAAAGTAGTTTCCATGGGTTCAGGAAGTTCTTCGGGCTCAATCATCATATCCGCTGCAGAAGAACTTAAACGAAATCAAAAAACGTCAGATATCCAAGAACCGTAAATAGTTCGAAACAAAACTGAAACATTTACGCATGCCAATGACTTTCATTGTTGTAAAAACATCACTGGATTTCCCCATATCTCATGCCATGATGGCAGTGCCACTGCTGGTCAAGTATAGTTTTCGAGTTTTGGGAAACCACACCCTAATATTAACAACGTGATCACAACATGCTATCTGTTCCTCGGTGGTTACAGTCGTAGAAAATTTAAAGGTCGTGGGATAACGTTTGATTAAAAAAAGAAAATTGTACCATCAGTTTTCGCCTAAGGTGACAAGAATGTGTTTTTATACCCAATTTGCCTTTCCAAACGTGGAGAAATAAGAAAGATGCTTATTCAGTCAGTGAGACAGGCGGCTCGAAAGCATTCTGGTCCAGGTGTTCTACCACTGAGCTACAGGGGGTTTGTGGGAGTTAAGGTCGCTTAAATAGTTTCACGTGGAGATTTATTTAAAAAATAAAACCATCTGGTATGTAACTCACCCTTCCTCTTCTATAGATGCGGTACTGTCTTTATCGATAAGTGCCAAATATCTGGGGTCACGAAGGGCTTCTGAGTAACTAGCATCAATTAGATCTTTGTTGCCAACGTTTTTTACACACCACACAAAGAGATCTAATTCGCTGGCATCTTTGCATGATATCATTGATGCAATGGCAAACTTCTCAGTCTCTGAGTAACCAATCGATTCCAATTTTGCTACAAGCGTTTGGAACACCTCTTCATGTGATGATTTCGACCTCGGCTGGTGCAATAGAATGCTGGGTTCAACTGGGCCGGTCGAACCATACGATCTGACGATACTGTCGCCGGTTTGTTGGCTGCAAATTCCACAAGAGATAAGAACAGATTTAAGGATAGCTGGCTCCACCCCAGGTAACACACTCTCCAACAGGTTATAAACCGCAAGAGGAATGTTATCGACAGCCCTGGGACCTCTTCCCTGAACAACAGCCAGCTGTTTTCGAAGGAACAACAACTGACGGGTGGTAAAATGATTCAGTTCATTGTACAGAATACGCTTAGTATGCAGCTCTTTTTTCCACAACTCAAGACACTGTTCCATCTGGGCACTTTGTTCTTCCAAATCCTGTGTAAGGGCGCGGTTGGTAGAGAGCCGCAGTGTACACTGATATTCATACCTCCAACGGAGATGGCTTACTTCTCCAGCTTTGCAAAGAGCGATGTACACTGTAGCAAGTCGCTGAACACATTGCAAGATCTGTTAATTCCGAAAGAAAACAAAAACTGAAGAACCTTTAGAAGAAAAAGTATAACGAAAGTGATCAGTAATTCCAGGAACAACTAAATAAACGCTGTGGGCAATCCTAAATGCCGATTGTCACAATCCATTCAAGAAAACCATGTACATCTAACACTTTACGTTCATCTGTAAGCAATTGTAACCCTATAAGATTAAAGTACCCTCGAGCCACGAAAGGAAACGTCAGGCAAAATATCACATCTATTATGTTGCAGAAAAATTCACCCTATACTGCATTTAAACCGTTTCAATTTAACTGACCAGACTTAAGAACTATCTAAGGTTGGCCTTACATCAACAAATCGGTCCACGTCTTCTTTTCCATGTGAAGCTTTGGCGGCAATAAGCATCAGTTTACTTTGTAAATCCTTCAGGTTGTCAAGAGTCAATCTTTTCTTGTCTGCGACTACCGTGAGTTCAATCACAGCATCGAGTGACAACGTTTCCATTGATGTCCAGGCATCCTTACTGGGACAACCAACACGGTATACACCCTTTTCATTAATAGCTTGAGCTTCCATCAGAGAGGACATTGCTACTGAACCATGAGACTTTTTTACCCCCTTCAACCACTCTAACTGTTCACTTGTGGCTACCTGCATAAGACCAAAGCAAGCAAAAAGACAAAGAAATAAGTTGAAATACTACATGTGGAAGTTAATGGCAACAAATGCAAAATTGATGATACTCATACGCAGAAGTGCAACCCAAGTTTCCTGAGTAGTCCTGTTGACAAAGCATCAGAATACAGCCCATTTCTAAGTTACAGTCAGCCTCTCTATCAAAGCGAGGCCTGGTAGACAAGCTTTCAGATAAAAATGAGCTTAACCTGCATTTGTATCATAACCTCTTTTAAAAAGAAAAGATGTGCACCAGCACTCACTTTGAAAAAGAGGCTTAAGGGAATTCGGAAATGGCCTATTGTGAAGTTTAAAGTAGTCATCTTTTGTATGACTGTCCTGTTTACATTTCCATGTACATTTACCATTTAGGTCTGTCACTCAATACTGAGCATTTCAGACCGCTCTAAAAAAGGGAAAACAAAAGTGACTGAAAAGGCGCTTATGACCACAAAGGAATAAAAGTGTTAATAAATGTTTCAAATTGCAATTTTTAAAGCAGCCATTGAATTGGAGTAAGCTATATTCCTTGGGAGTTCATTCCATTCTGTAATTGTCCTTGGGTAGAAGGAATACTTGTAGTAATCCCTAATGGCTGTCCTGGCTGGCTGTCCTGTTTAAGAAGACTTAGGAAATATGACATTTTAACGCACATCTATCAGACTATGGACAAGGACCTAAGATTTCATTTGCAGTAAGATACCCAGATGCAATCACAACATTCTTGACTTTACGTTAGTACCCTAGGAGGTTAAGGCGGTAAAATCAACGTAGAAAGAATTAACTACTTAAACGGAATTTCAAAATGATCCAAACTTACCACTTAGTACAGAAGTACTGGACGTCTGATATTTTACTTTTACTTCTTCAAAAATGTACGACTTGGAATATTTGTATTACCCTTTCAGGTAAATTAAAATTCCATTCCTAAATAACACGCAATCAACCAAATAGACCGCTACTCAGAAATGATAGGTTCAAGTCCCATCACACTTGCGACAAAATGAAGATTTTACATATTTAGCCATACTCTATGTTAAACAAGCCTACCAATTTTTCTGGAAGGGTGGGGTCAGCATCCACAGCATTCCAAACTGGTTCACAAGCTTTCATCAGTTTCTTAAATCCAAAGGAAGGTTTCAAATCAAAGATGAGGGGGGCAAAGCCAAGGCAGCTGGTATGTAGACACGTGATCTTGTACGTTTCTATGTCTGCCTCCCCAGCTGAGATTATCGCCAAATCCACAAGGACCTTGAGTTCTTGAGGGCCTAAGAAAGAGTTCGACAAGAAAAGATAAATGCGCCGAAGTATTCTCACATACTCTATTACTCACAAGATCTCCTGACAGAGGTGGACGGTGTCGGGAAAGACGACGACGAGAAATGGGCCTATTGAGGTTCCACAAGCTTTTCCCAAGAGGAGAAGTTCCAGTCACGACTAAATCCAGGCCTTCTGTTGGATCAATTGCCATTTAAGTTGCCCTTTTTAACGGTAAGTGTTTTAGCATCTGTCCGCCGGTCTGTGTCTGTCTCATGTCTACCTATCTAACTATCTATATATTATAAGCTAAACATTAAGTGACTATCACGATTAGTGGTAGCGTTTTTAATGATTTAGTTTTTAAGACTCTTTATCACAGTCGAGAATCCAGTAAGAATGGTAAACGCCCCCCAGCGAAATGCCGACAAGTAGTGGTAGCGATAGTAACTTTGGCCTAAGAGGGTCTGACCAACAACATTTTGTTTCTCACTCACTGTTTGCAGAGCAGGAGTGACCAGTATACGTTGACTTGCTTAGTCCATAGTTCAATCATTGAATATCAGGAATAGAAGGTCACAATAAAAGGTCAAAACTCAATGTCCTATCAACGGTTATGTAGCAACACAGTTTAGACATCGCCGCTTCCGTCTCTTTTCAATAAACGCACTTATCTTAAGTGCAATTGAAAATAGCTAAAGCAACCGCATATTCTACCTTTGATCGTTTTCCTTATCCAAGATATGAGATCTTTGCATTCAGCAACAGCTTCAAGACAATCTGCACGCTCAGGCGTTATCAGCGACAATAATCTGCCTGCATGTTGTAAAGCTGCATTCATGGTCGTTAGTGGTTTCTGTTTGAATTCCTTGGTCATCTGTGTAAAAAGGGTAAGAAAATGTTAAATATTTTACGATAACAAGTGACACGAACCAGTCAGGAGTTAAAATGCAAGCTGGAAATTCCAAGGTTTTCCACATAGGGAAGAAAGTTCAATTTTATTAAGTGAAGGTTACTATGAACCTGATTTTGTAGATCTTTTACTGCCTGAAAATCTCCTTGAAGGCCCAAACTGTCTTTAAATTTCAAAATGTTACCAGCGGCGGCAGTGCAGGTTTGCAATTTGTAGTATTCAATTATCTGCTCAATGCGAGTGTCGATTGTCGATTCGCGGGCTGCTAATATATTGCCATTTCTTGAGGTGATAAGCTTGAATTCGTTAGCGAGGTCTTGGTTACTATTGAAAACCGTAAAGAACTTGTCAATCTCTCCAAACGAAATGGTACAGTTCATAAAACGATCTTGCAACGACTGCAGCTGTTTAATTGATGGTGCCCATACCAACTCTTCAACATCGTCGACATTTAGTAAGCCTTTATGTCCTTGCCTTTGTGCAACGCGTGAAAGTGCCTTTTTGCCATTTTCAATCCAAAATCGTCGAAGAAGTGTACTGTTGCATAGTGTGCTGAGCTCTGAAATCATTGCCTTTGCCTTAGGCGAGAGCTGAAAGAAGGTTACCACTGGGCGTACTTTACCATTAACAACTGTTGACCATGCCAGGTCTTTAATCGGCAAACAAGAAGCGTCCACAACAGTTTTCCTCGACAATTCATCTACATTTACTAGAAAAAAGAGAAAACCAAGATTTAATCTATAAATGCGCCATTAACGTATCGAGCGTAACGTCAAAAACCGCGCAACGTTCGTTGTTTACCTTGTGTGATGAGCGCACACATCCTGACAAAGGAACCAACTTTCTTTCGTTCTTCTCGAAATGCAGTTAGCTCGATGATACGTTGGTTTAACAGTTGTTCCAAGTATTCCTTACTCCTCTCTTTAATAATCTGTTCCATTTGTCCGCAAAGCTCCAGAAATCTTCCAGAGTTATCACTTATAAGAGTTAGCATTTGAAAGGTAATAGATTCATCCTCTAGGTACATCACTGCAGCTTCAATAGATGACACAGCCTTCATCAAAATCTCCTGTCCATCTGGTTTAAGTACTTGGCGAAAATCAGACTCTCGACCTGATGAAAAGCAAAGAACGTCTCCTAAAACAAAACTTTCTAACTAACCCCAGAAACGATTCTTTGTAGTTGCCTTTATAATTTTGCAGCATCAAATGTATTTACAGATAAGTTTGTGTAACATATTTAAAGTAATTGGTCAACTGTCAGTGTTTTATAATTTTATTCAACCGCGATTCATTTCTTTTCCATTTATACTTATATTTTTGTAGCACTCCAGTTATAATGACGTCGTCAATAACACCCAAAAATGCAAACAACGGGTAAAAAAAGTAGCATGCTTTTATTTCCTTTCTGTTCTCTTCTCAGACAACAGTCATTTGCGTTTGAAAATTGCTGGAGCAATGAGAGACTTCACAGCTTAACTGTTACTGAAGAAAAGTGAAATTTAGCTCTTTATCTAGGATCCAGGTCCCTTTCGATATGCCTCTAGTTCTACTAGGTGGGGTACCTCCTTTTGAGTGAGCTTCTTCCTACCTCCAGGGGGAAGCATATATCCTAAGAACCTGACCAAATCGTTATTTAACAGAATGGGAGCTTGCTGTCATAAAACGCCCCAATGACAAGGAATCTCGTGTTTTGTCACGAGCGAAATGCTTGACTGATACCGCTTTAAGGTTTTCTCCGTTCAAAAAGGGCAAAATTACCGTGCTTTTAAGCTTTTAAACGCTAGCTTTCATAATGCTTTCTTCTTTGAATTTTTCTGTTGAAACGTTAAAACGATGTTGGTTTATCAACCAAACCGAAGGGAAACACCGGTTCCCCAGAGGAAACACAGAATAAAAACAAAGAATTCGTAAAGCATGGAAGTCCAGATAGAGCTAGATCATGCAGAGCCTTTTAATCTAGTCACTCCAATGACGTTTTCAGAATAAGAACTTTTGCATTACTATGCATTAGAATAACTGCGCAGTTTTTGCAGTTACCTCTCTAAAGAAATCACTATTATGTTTATGCCTACAGAACTCCTTGAACTCGACAAATTAGAAAACAACATACGATTTGCCACCTAATACAATAGAAACGTAATCCCGTGTGAAAAAAACCAAACTCATACTCTTTATAAGACGTAATAACACCTCACCTAACAGATATTTCAACCGAACACAAACTGAAAACACAGAAACGTTCTTAGCAAACAACTTGTGGATGTAAACGAAGAGTAAACCAAAGTGCCTTCACACGTCTTATGGTCAACTTTGGCACCAATAAATGCACATACTGACAGTTAAATCGGACGCAGAAAAGGTCCTCTACTAACAGGGATTTCGCAAACGAATCCAATTATAGTCTTACCGAATCTCTGGAAAAAGCAAGGCCATAACGTCCAGGTCAGTACTTGCCGGAGAATCATTCTACTGGAGCAGGGAATGCCTCCTTGTGGTTTAGGCCAGCAATGGGTAAGCATCAGTGTTAAGAGTTCACCGCACTTTGAAGCTTGAGGAGATCCAAGGCCATACTCCGAAAGGTTCTTAAAGAGCTCCTCACGCTCAGTTCCCGTCTGAGAGAAGAATTGAAGTAAAATGCATATAAATTACGTTAAAACTAACATGTCAGCATAATATAATGGTATGTGCCAGCCGATTCTTGAAATACTGTGAGCAACGTCCTTTGAACTGTTGGATTACCGTTGTAATGTATGGAATGTCCGCCAAAAAAAGTGGCCGATAGTGGAAGTCGATTGTATATCGGTTTTAACGAAACAGGAGAAACTTTTAGTTCGTCTGCAGTTGTGTTTTCTGGTTTTCGTTCTCCCCTGAAACTGTCACAGAACCTCTGCTGCACTTCCAAACCAAAGTTTGCTTTCTTGGTAGTATTTTCAGCTCATAATTCTCCCATGAACTGATGCGTGTTTTCCAGCAAAACGACATTATAAGAAAAACTTGAGGATGAAACTAGCATCCATCACGAAAGCTTTCGTTGTCACTCATTGAAACAAAATACTGTAATAGTCATTTGCCTCCAAATGAACTGTTAAAAAAAAGGTTTTCCCATTTTCTTATTTATTCATTTTTTTTTTTTTTTTGCAAAAATGAAAAAACACATGAAAAAAATAGTATGAAAAACTGTTAGATTGTTTTTTTTGTGGACAGAGCTGCGCGCGAATCGGGGCCGGAGTCTGGATCGTAGAATTCCGAACCACTCGCGAACAAATCAGGACACGTGATTTAATGGCAAGAAATAAAATACATTAAAAACTGTTATTATTCATTCAAAATATTTCCCCAATTCTGATTAGCTAAAAGCACACGCATAATTCACCACAACCAGTTACTGATGACCTAATTTGGAAGAATTTTGTGTTTAACGAGAAAATGACGTCAAAAATGCAGCCTTTTACAGGTTAATGCACCGTTAACCGACAAGACCTGGGGACGAGATTGATTTGTTTTCGATGTAAAAACTAAAATGGCGGACACTTCACTCGTTTCAAGAGTAAGAACTACAGCTGGAACTAGGCGAAATAATGGCTAAAAATATAGCAAAAACAGCAAGAAGGCAACTCGTAGGGCGACATCTGCTATTTGGAGAATATTTGCGGAGCTGGACAAACCTAAACGTAAACTATCAAAGATAAACTTAACATCGATGCAGGTAAGCTTGTTTTAGCTATGTCTTTCAACTAGGAATTACTTTGAATGAATAATAAAACAATTATTGAATTCGGCTTTCGTATCATATGAAGAATTATGGAGATCTCGGAGGGTGAATCCTTCATAAGATACTCAGCCGCATTCATTAATTGTTAATTATTTTCTTCTTTCACAGTTAAAAGCGATTTACCATTACCTTGCCTGAGTCAAAATCACAGTTAATACACTTAGTCAACAAATAGAAGCGAAAAAGTTCATTACACGTTCCGCTAACGTAAGCTTCAATACTTTACAGACTGGAAATATAATAAATTTGTTCACTGAATCGCTCAGTTTTCATCAGTAGCAAGTGCGTGGTTGCAAAGCAGTCACGTGACCTTAGTTAAAAAATGAATGTTGGCGATTTTACTGAGTAATCAAACACATTTTACCTGGAGCATACCCTCCACTTTTTGGAATGTCACTTCAGACACCAAGTCTTGTACACATCTGTGTTGAGCATCCACATTAGTTTTGCTGAAGACTTCCACTAGACCGTTACTGTCACTCTAAGAGTCAGGAAAAACCAATCCATATTAACCTGTTTTTATCAATAAAGTCGACACCTTAAAAGACCAATAGGACCAGTTAATAATTTTCTTGCATACACAGCCAATTCGAGGCTGCAAAGTATAATGCACCGGAAATGCAGGTACCACAGTTAGAGCAAGGAGGTTACATTATAACAGCTTAGATTAAATTTCTTTCATATACAAAATGATTGTAACCCTACCACTTCCAAGCGCATTTTCAACATCTGTAACAGATGGCCTCTCCAAAGCTCTTCGCATCTTTCATTTGTCCATTCCACAGACAGCAGGTCGGTCCAGACCTACAAATCCATCCGTAAAAATAACGGGTAAATTTCTTGTCATGACACCTTTCTATCCCGTACAAACGCCAAAAACCAGACTGAAGTTGACCTTTTCTTTGCCTTTTTCTTGGCCTTTACCTAGCCTTAGGGCGGCCTTAAGCGTTTTTCTGGTATATATAACGGCTTAAAAAACTCTTCCTGTTTTGTTTTCCTCCACGATAATCAGCGCTAGGACATTTAATTCTTTACAACAAGAATCAAGTTAAATGTAAATTGTAAATTTCGCTTTGAACTAATAAAAGATAATTTCATAATGTTAAATGTGTTATATTTTTAAATATACCTTAAGTTCTTTCTCTGTTTCATCTTTTAGGTAGCAAGGAATTTCACGCAGCAAGTTCTCCTTCAACCACTTATTGATGATTTCAAAACAGTCCGCCAAAAATTTCTGAACTTTATTAAACGCTTCCTCTTTTTCCTGCTCTGTCACAGCGGTCTTCAAAAGCATGGAGATACAAGACTCAAGGCTATGTAAACCATCACGCAGCACTTGCATACTGCATTTAGAGTTGCAAACAGCCCTTAGAATGCGTAGGCAGGAAATGCAGCAGAGAACAACTTCTTGATTCCAGACAACGTTATCACCTGGGACGGAAAACCTATTGACAAATAAATTAAAAATTTTACGTTGCATAAAGATCAATTAAACATAGGAACTTGCCAATCACTCCTTTTTTATAAATACAGTCAATTCTCTTTAAGAAGGACACCTTCAGGACCCGCCCAGACTGTCTGTCTTAGAGAGGTATCCGGCTTATAGAGAGTCAAGGTAACGTGACACCAGTAAAACGTAAGCTGAACCCATGCGGATTGAAGACACGTCTGTTTAACTTGTGCGAAACAACTAAAACTGGAACACTGTTACAGAAAAGTGGAATCATTTTCTAATTAAGAAATCAAACGTTTATTACAAGCAAAAGTTCACGGCTTCGAGGTCAAAAAGCGTAACAGTATACACTCTACGAACTGGAGGAAGACTACAAAATATAAGAAATTTTGCAATTTACGGTGATATAGAGCATCTACATGTCGATGATTTTGAGGTATTTTTTACTGCATAGAGGACTTCTCAAGTGTCCGTTTACGGTTTCAGAAGTGTCCCTTGTCCGTCTTATAGTTGCAGTAAAATGACTCAAAAACGGTAGGACCAACACGAGGTGTCCGTTAAGAGGGAGTTGACTATAGTATCACATGCTTACAGAAAACCTTTTTCATAATGAGTAATAATTTAGAGTGGCCTTCACACAAACGGCTGGTTCTACTGGTTTGAAACCAGTTTGAAATTCACCACGAAGCATAAATCAATCAGTCTTACTCTTTAGCTGTCATTTTATGGACTGTCTTGAAATCCATCTTTAAGCTGGTGCCAACTGCCTCCCACTAGACAAAATAGAGAGCGTGAGATTCAAACAAAAATTGAACAAAAAACCATTACAATAC